TTACTTTTATATATATATATATATATATAATCAAAATTTATTCAAACCTTTACTCTCCTATTTATTTTGTTTATTTTACAAAATAGATTTATGTTTTTTTAAATAAATTTATATATATATTTGTAAAATTAGTTTTTTATTATTAACTATATATATATAACATTGTATGTATACATACATGTATACTTATATGAGCATGCATAATAAAAATAATGACTTACATTATTCAATAATAGATTAAATATAATTATAATTAAATAATTCTACGTATATTTCTATTACATTATTTTCTTTTTTACAAAAAAAATTTTTTTAATTAAATGGTAATAGAAATTTTATTTAAAAATTTTTGTTTACGTCTGGAACGTTTGAAGATATATGGTCCTGCAATTATCGTAAATTTAATAATAAATTTGGTTGGACGTAGTAATGTGTATATTAAAGCTGTAAATGCACTTACCTTTATTTATACTCGTATTCATAGTCAAATCTTATATTTATTTAAGAGAATTCCTTAAGTTCATCTTTAGATGCTTAGTAAAATAATAAAATAATAAAATAATTCGCACATCTGAAAATAAATTTCAGGAATCCTTTTAAATATAAGATCTGATTATGAAAATGGATATTTAAAATCTGTGTAAAAGTAATAAACTAAAAAATATAAATATTTTTAATTATAAAATACAGATTTTACAATATCTTAGTAGTATAATAAAATATTCAAGATATTTCATAGTTTAATTCGCTTTTATATTTAGACACTGAAAAAAAATTTATTAAATTTTAATAAATATTTCTTTGAATTAGTCCTAGCGGAATATATATTTAATTACGGTAAATAAATATTTAGATAAATGAAGAAAATTGATATTCGAATATCAAACTAATATATAATTCTTAGATCCCCCTCTCTCTCTCTCTCTCTCTCTCTCTCCCCTAATAAATATATATTTACATTTATTAAATATTCTGCTAGAACAATTTAAAGAAATATTTATTAAAATTTTGTAATTTTTTCCGCAATGTATGAAACATATTTTATCATTAATTTATGTACTAGCTACTATCAGTGTATGTAAATTATAAATGTTAGATCCTTGGGGATCCTAAAGCCTCCTGTATTATCGACTAAGGGTACGGTCAACGCGATGTTGCAAATGCTTTGAAGCGTTTTTTGATTGATCAATTTGTAAAGTTCTTTCTTCTGATTGGTCAATCAAATGCTTCAAAGCATTTGTAGCGAGACTTTGACCGTACCTTATATCGTATAATTTTTGTATCGTAAATACTGTTTTTGTCATTCACAGATTCGAAAATCTTTTTACAGAATTAAAGAGAGAGTATACACAAATCTTAGTTATTGTAAACGAAGTCCCCTTCTTGGCTATTTTTGTAAAGCTGTAGTGTAAATAAATACTACTACATATATGTTTTTTTCAAAAATAGATGCCTAGGTCGAAAACATTATAATCGATATTCAACTATCGATAATATTCAACAGTCTAGGTTATTCGATAACTATCGAATAGGCTATCAAGTTTTCAACTTCTACGTCTCGGCATGACATAATGACAAGCGATCGCGGAAAATGGATGATGACATCGATATTTATGCGGATTTATCGAGTTTTAATTTGATTCCAGAAAAAAAAGTGAGAATTACTATTAATAATACTCTAATTTTGGTTAGAGTAACTTCTTTGTTGCACATATGTTGCACTTGTCTAACCACAAAGATAAACAATCTTTGTTTTCCCAAAGATGTAAACTTTGTAAAGGATATAAATGTGTGTACAATGATCTATACGTTTACATTCTTATTAAAGATTAAAATTATATCCCCAATTTTAATTTAATAGATGATATAATGTGCATGTATGATAATCTAACCTAAAATATTTCCCGCGCGCGCCATAAAATTACAGCATTTTTTGTTATTTCATACTTTTTGATTGAATTTGATTGAAGTTTTTAACAACCTTATTCTAATCAGCTGTATTTATTAAATACATTGTTCAATATCTTTTACATGAGGAAATTTTATCATTTTATTGTTTGCTATCTATATTGAATAAAATAAGTATGTTAAAATAATATTTTTATATTGTTTTATATTACAAACTACACAAAATATGAAAATTTAAATACTACAAGTTATATTAACATTACTATCTTTATGTATATTTAAATGTATAGAATATTATATTTTATCAAAATAAGATAACCTTTAATATATATAACATATTGATATTCTGCACTTGATATAATATATAATAAACTTATATCATATTTGAAAGAATTCTTTTATAAACTTATACAAATGATCCAAAGATCTTGGAATAATGTTTGAAATAAATATGTCAATGGGATTATGATAAAATATTCTTTGAGTTTATTTTTTGACATATAAAAGTAAAAGAGGTTAATTTTATATTTTCATGTAGTTTGTAATAATAAATTTACAACGTTTGATTTTAAAAATATTTGTAAAAATAATACTAGGAAACTGGTATATATATATATTAATTTTTATGTAAATATAATTAAAAGAACATATTATTTAAAAATTAAAGTGTATGTAGAGTACCTATGTATTTTACATTGATATGTTATCTAAAAATATTAAGAATTTCTGTTATTATTGTTTTATGTCTATACAACAATAATAATAAGTTATAAAAAAGTGATTTTTATATGAAATATATTGATGTAAATCTATCAAATAATAAGTTGATATTTTTAAATTGTTATCAAGGACCATGATTGTAACTGCGAGGAATTAAAGGAAGAGCTTAGTTCACTCAAAAGCAAACATGAAAATCTTCAGAGAGATAATACTAACTTAGTGAACAATTTATCTTCTTTGCTTAAAACTGCAAGATCTGAAATTACACGAAAGAACAAGACAATAGATGATCTGAGGAAACGGTATGAATTATATAAGTTAATATTGCTAAATTTGTTTCTAACGTTACCAAAAATGTTTACAGATTGGACGATGTAACCTTTAGAAGGAGCCACAACTATAAACCTCAAGAGTTTTCTATTTGTAAATTACCATATCAGCATACTGTAACTAAGAAGTATGAAGATGTTTCCTCGACACATTCACAAGAAAGTGAAACTGAAGAAACCGAATCTTATCAAATGCAGTTGTGTCACAACGAATATAAAGGTAAAAAGCCACAGAATGAAGTTCATAGGATACCTACAGTATTCGGGGAAAGATTACATAAAAGAATTATAGAAGAAAAAAAGCAACAAGAATTAATAAAGCTTGCTGCAGAAACTAAAACAAAGGATATTTCTAAGGAAGATATTATTGAAAAGGATAAGAAAACTGGATCTTCATCTGGTATGAATAACAACGACAATGACTCTAATGTTGGACGATATTCTAATTCAGGTAGGTTAAAGATAGATTTACTTTTTATATGATTGTATATATTATCAATAATCAAAAACAATGAAAAGGACGACATGAGAGTCAAAAATATAGAGAGTCCTTGTTATCTTTTCAATTTAATGTATGTATTATATTAGTTTATATAAAATCATAAACAATTTTTAATTTTTGCATAATTTTTTATCTAATAGAAGAATTTTTTATACTTTTACATCAAACAATATTAAGTGAACGTTTATATTAAAATTTATATCATTAATTTATATATTAAATATTTATTACTATTTATTTTCTTTTCTATAAATTTCTTGAAGAAAGTGTATAAAAAGTTTAGAATATCTTAATTATATGTAGACTTTATTTAAAGACAATTGAGTAATAAACTTGTTAGTTTGAAAAGAATTTTAATTACATCAGAAAATAATTTTGTTACAGAACCTTCATACGGAAAGAATTTAATGAAAAGGACAAATGAAGAAGACGATACAAATAAACACAAACGTATAAAAATTGAAAAAAATGAAGAGAAAACCGTAACCGAATTAACGAATAATTATCTTGCACAGTACGATCTAACAGACAATTTTGCACAATATGAGATAAAAGATAATATCAAATTAGAAAATCAATTGGATGCAGGACATTCTTTTAAAAAGGAAGAAGTTTCATACTGCGATGAACGCAGAACTACTTCAGAATATCGAGACACAAAAGAGAATCGAAATTGTACAAACGGATGGAGAAGTGAAATGAAAAATAAGTCAGCAAAAGATTATGACAGTTCTAGTAGCAAGAATGGTCACGCCCATAGTTTACGAAATTCTCGGGCAACTTCGACGTCACGTACAACTCATACCTCAGAAAGATATAACAGTGGTTATAGGAGAAATGGGCACAGATATAGTCCGCTTAGAAGAAGCTACTCTAGAAGCAGAAGCGATTACGAGAGTTCGAGCAATCATCGTTTACATGACAAATTCAGTAGAACACATAGACAAAAGAAGTATGATGATTATAAATATGATAGTCGATACAAAAATGACAGATTAAAAAGAAACTATGAGAAGGAAGAAGATGACAGGAAAACAAGATATTGGCGTGATAATAGGTATTCTTTGAGCGACGACGACAAAGAAAGTAATAGCTTTTATAAAAATAAGAAATATGAAAATCGGAGAACAAGAAAGGAAATGGCAAGCGTTTTAAATGATAAAAAGTTATACATCGGAACAACTGAACAAATGCGCGATAGTGATATTATCAGTAATGACAAAAATGATACTAATAAAAAATCGGAGGATTCTGTTACTGAAATTATTAAGATCAAAGAAATGATTGGTTTCAATATTGATACTAAAATCAAAGAGATAGATGATTCTAGTATGGAAAGTGTTCCTAAAAAGGAAGTAGGCAATCTTAATATTGGAAATGTTGAAATCACAGAAATAAACAATTTTAATAACGGTGATAGTATTCATAAAATTGATGATGAAGAAATAAGAATCTCTGCTGCTAAAGTTACAAAAGTGGAGGCTCTGCCTAATTGTGATATTGAGGATAGAGATAAAAGTCAAGTATCAATTGAAAGGGAGACTTTTCATCAAATGTCAAATAAAAGCGCCAATGCAACATGCCTCAACGATCATAATTACGTTCAGAGTTCTTCTATCAATGTCTCTGATCTCGATGCAATCCAAAAGCCGTCTTTGAGATCAGAACGTAGCGCAGCTATTTTGGATACAGCATCTTCGAAGGAAACGAAAGCAGAAGAAACAGTCAATGTTCAATCGTTTGCTGTTAAGAAAACAATATCATCTGTAGTGAAGAATAAAAAGGACCAACAAAATAGAGGAACGTTAATTTCGCATCGTCGAAAAGCCGTAAAACTGAGCGACAGTAACGCGTCTATGACCGTCCTGATGAATACAGCAAAAACGTCTTTTGTTACTAACAATTGTAACAACAACGATTCTACTTTGAAGCCGCGTGCCTGTAAAATATCGCGAGTGACTGGAAAAACAACTTGTAAATAATCATTGTACATTTCCTACACTTATAAGAAATATTAATAAAGCTGGATTTGTAAGTAAGAAATCGAGAATGGGAACATCGATCGTTCCAAATAACACCATATTTTTTAATTATTACTTATCTATAAATATCTATAATTCCATTTATTTCTGTATATTTATATGTAAGTGTTTATAGCCATATTAATATAAATGATTTATCATTATTTTATTATTTTATTATCATATTAATTATATTTATATATTAAAGATATAGATATATATAAACAGAGCCTCATTGCTTCAGCGATTCTTGAAGTGCTGCGTTTTACTACCTTGATGTCTTCATATTATAACATTTTTAATAGAATTATCATAATATCGAATTATTAATAATATAGACACATTATTCAACAAACTGATCAACGAACACATCGACCTGCCGAGTTAATTTGTAGTTTGCATCTATAAATGAACGCTAGGTATTCGCCGATTCGATTTCGAAAGGGGAAATAAAATTTTACAGTCATTTTGAGATAGATATAAATTTATAGAGATGGATATAAAATAATAAGTAGAATATAATATATATTAAAACAACTGTTGATGTCGGAGTACAAAGTCCCTTAATTTTACAATGACAGCGTTAATTCGAAGCTCGGTCGAAGTGGGCCCAAGCGGGGGCGCATTCTACATCGATTAGCGCGGCAAAGAAGCGGAGTATCGATCAGAAAATAGCCGGCGCAACGACGTTCAACGACGCGCACGTTGGCCGTTGACGTCACCGCGCGGGCCGGGGGTGGTGAAAGGAACGTCCATGCGCCGCGCTTTACAGACGCAGAGGACGTCGGGATGACCCGCGTCATGGACATCGTCGCCGTCGTCATCGTAGCCGCGGCCGCCCACTAATACGCTTTTCTGGCTCGCGACGCACGCGAGCATGTGCATGTAGACGCTGCGTGCGGCCTGTGTGCCCCTCGCCGCCGGTCCTCCGCTATACCCGACGACGAGAGTGAGATCTCTCTGCGCTCAGTCACGGCCGTCCGCGTCGCGTTCGCTTCCGGCGGTAATCGATCGGCGGCGTTTTCGCCCGCAATCCGCGATATCCCGGGGTCATCAAGATGGGTTCTGTAGTGCTTAAGTCGCTCTCGGTGCTCCTCGGCATATTCTTTGTTTTCGTCGGCACCATGAAGCTGACGTCGCACATCAGCAAGGAGTTGCACAAGGACCTGGTGAGTCGTCCACGAGCGAGGAATCGATCGTCTTCCTTGCGCTTGTGGGATATTTAACAGGACGATACCCTGCGATTGTATATCGGAGCGATAAATGACGATGTTAGAGCGATTATTCGATAAAACGATATCCAATTTAGTCGCTGTCAAACTTCTGTCATTATATGGTTGAGATTATAATTAGATTTAGCAATGAATGCGACTGAAAAGTTCCGACGAAACGTGAAATTGATAAAATTATCGCTCACTGCGGTTTAACATTTGAAACTATGGCAGTTGATTCAATTTATGTTCATTTCTGCCAACTTTAATCTTGGCCTACAATTTATTCTTTTTTGATTTTTAGAAAAAGATAAAAAAATAAGTTAAAGTGAAAATTAAAATTAATCTATATTAGTCGAGAAACGGATCTTATAATATCGTTATATTGTCTTTAATAGTTTATAATATTTTTATATCAATATTATTAAGTTTAATAGAGCGTTTAGGATTTAACGGACGATAAATAATTTGCAAAAGATAATTTAACTTAGTATTGTATTTATCTTGTAATGTAAAAAAAAATAATGATTGTCTTATAATTATATATTAAATTATTTCAACATATAATTATGAACAATTGGCAGCTGTTATTGCAAACTTCCACTTCAAAAGTTTCTGCCGCAATCAACATTAACCGATAAGTTTATTAAGCTTCTGCTTTAGATTTCAAATATAGTTGTTTGTCCGATCTGCAACTGTCATCTAAGAAATATGCCGCAAAATGTAATGTTCGATTAGGAAATTGTGAAAATGTTGTTAAATGATGTTTATTTTAATTGATGAATTAATTAAATGATAAAAAGAAAATCATTTAACCGCGTCGAACTGTCTAGCGGGCTGACAGACTGGACGCCATTTGTCACGACATGTCGTCAGTGTCTTCTCGTCTTATTTTTATATGTAATTTCACGGACGTCGATGTCGACGTCGCCGCGTCGTCGGTGCCAAAGTGGATGGGTACGTCGAGTACAAGCCGCCCGGTCTGTCACGGGCTGACTTAATTATGTAACATTTTATATACTCAAAGCTTGCCGTCGCTACCCTTGCCTCCTCCGCTACACAGTCGCATGCGCTCGCGCTTACGACACGACGTTTCCTCTGATTTCCCCTTGCCCAGGGCCGCCGTAAGCAGGGGTGCGTTCAGGAGTTATGCTCAGATAACTCTTGGGTGCATTCTTTTGCTATATTGTGCGTAACGTAAACTGTAGCCTAGAGTTATCTAGGCGTATAATTCCTAAACGCAGCCCAGGTGTACAAGTTGAGCACTGCTCAAAGGCGCATTTTTAGCTCGAATCTACAATAGGAATCTACATAGTCAATTAAGCCGGCGAATACTTGTTTTCCTGTTGGATTAGAATTCAGAAGGAAAACAAGCATCGTGTGCCGCCGGCTAAATTCTCCTTGCATTCGACTGTAATATTAATTAAACACCTTGAAACATCTATTGTAGATCCAGACTTTAATTACGAAAGTGTCAAATTAAGTTTCTTCATCTCTGCAAACATATTTTTTTTTGTCCAGCCCATTTTTTTACTACTAGGCTTTTAAAAAATGTGAAAAATTTCAGAATTATTATTTTTAAATATCTTTTCCGTAACATGATCCAACATATTTTTAGGAGGGGAATCTTTACCAAGATTCTATTCTTCTTTAGTTACAAAGAATAGTGAAATTTTATTTGTATAAAAAATGACACAGATTGTAGAAAAAAGGATTAAAATCAATTTTCCAGTCCACTGTGTACAAACTCCTGTCAGATTTAATTTTTTTCAAATTAAATTGTACATTAATTTAGCAAAATCAAAATCTAATCGTTTTTTAAAAAAATTTTAAGTTATGGTCGAAATATATAATTACTTATTTACCGTTGCTGTTAAAATTTTTCAATACATATAAAGCCATATATACATACGAAACCATTTTATAACACTCAGTATAGAGGATACCGATTATTTTTCTAGAACGGAAATATAAAGAATGAAAACTGTCTATTAATTTCTATGGTACAAACTTTTCATACGTTTTATATTTTTATTCTAGGAAAAAGTAACACGATCAAATTGCGCCTTATCTAAAAAAAAAGATATTTTAAAGAGAGCATATCTTATTTAAAAAATTGATAAATAAATGAATAAAAGCAACAAAATTTCCTTTGCACAAAGGCGCCTTATGTATTAACGGCTCTTCTCAGCCAAAGCTTCCAGCGCCTGTTTCCCACGATGCTCAATTTCCGGATTGTTAACGCTCCAGAGATGAAAAACTCGACGACAAATACGGATAACACGGTTCACGTGGCGCTACGTTTATCGGGTTAACGTTTGGGCGCACAGTGGCCTCTTCCTCAGAAAAAAGTGATAAAAGGCGCAACTGATCGATCCAACGAATTATTAACCGATCTTCCACAGGTTGACACACGTCGAACAGTTTTACGATAATGTTACATTATTTTTTTCAAAATAGTCGACATAATTTTACAAAGAAATAGAATAATATTAGGATCAATCTTAAAAACCAGAAATTAAAAAAATTGAGCAACGTTATATACTTAACAACGAATTAGTGCGAATTAAAAGCAAAATATTCATTTAAAAAATGTTCTTTTTAAAGTATATATATATATATATATACATATAGATTACTTTTAGCACATTTAAATTTCATACATATAAAATGATTTTTTGAACATGTCTTTGTGTAGAGAAAAGTTTTAAGTTAATAATCTTGCGTCGATTATTATATAGAATATAGGCAGCGCAATCGCGTGTTTTATAAAATACGAATTTTTTATGCAGTCACTATTATACTGTTTACACTTTTGATATTCTTGCCGATTTTATCTACTCTAGAAAAGTTAATATTAAAAATAAATATTATTAAAACTATTATTCACACTTTATAAAATTATAGTGTTAAAAAAAACGATTAAAAGTTCGTTAAATGATCGATGAAAATGTCAATAAAAATCAATTTGGAGCGAATAACGCAAATGAAACATGAGTAATAATAATGTTTTAAATCTTTCTATTTTTTTTTTTAAATTTACTTCCTACAACCTACTATATTACGACATAATTCGACACATTAATTCTCTTGTAACCTTTATTTGAAATAGTCAAAGGAAAAGGGGATAAATTGTTGTGAGGAATGCAAAATACGTAGTAGTGCCAAATAGTATCAAGATCTTCAAAGTGCCGTTCTGTTTTTTGAACTTTGTGCTGCATTCTCTTTGAAAATAGCAAACCAATTTTTTGTAACTTATTTTAAATTCTTTAGAAACAACTAGATCATGATCTGTTCGTTTACTTTTTAAAAATTTATCACACATAGTTACGATCAGCAATTAGGAAAAAACTAACTCCTTTTAAATCATAATTAAAATTCAGATGTAGTTTATCATAAGTAGAAAAAATATCGATTAAAAATGTTGTTTTAACTAATTATATTAGAAAAAAATTAAAAAATAATAAAACAATTACTGATGTATTAGTGACAAAAAAAAAGTAACGCAATGATATAGGTATAATAGTTTTGCTCTATGATAGAATAGTATCTTTCTTCGTGATTAAGATTAACTAAACGCCAAATTTATGTGGCATTATGAGTGTGTCGGTCGCAACGAGGCCAAGGGCGTCGGAAAAAAATGAAATTTTTTGAAACCTGGTCGATTGTAAGGTGCGACGTATGCCGTGTCACCTAGCTCGTTATAGACAGTATAAAAATACACGCAGTAATGTGCGCTCGATAACGTATACATTACAATATACGATAATGCACTATTGAAGATCAAACTACATTGATATGGCCACAGAAACACACAATTGATCATTAATATAATTTTATTGAATCTGAAGTGTTTAAACAAGAAATTGATTACATATGTATTAATCAACTAATTATTTGTAATAAGTATAAAATATTCATTACTGTTATATTTAATATTTCTCCTTTTATCGAAAGTCAATTTTCCATTTTTCGTATACGATTCCGTAAAAAAAATATAAAATCTTGTTTTGCAAAATATAGGAAGATATATAAGTATATTTGTTTATGCTATAAATTAATGAAATATGTTTATTGTTACGTATTTAATATTACAGCTTAATTTTTGATATAAATGTTGACCATCGATGTGTCATTCCGCTATTTCAGAATCTCTGACATTACCCAATGAAAGTGATATTAAGGTAAACACTCGTGCAGATTAGTTGGTCAACCGCCAATAAGCTCGCAAACTTGCTGGCGAATGATATTTATATACTGCGCGTATTAGAACAAGTTAGGTTTTCTACAAGTCCTCGAATTGTTTCAAGCTGCCAAAACGGGCTCGATTATATCACCACTATGTAAATACAATACAATAAAAACAGCGTTCAGCAATAATTAGTTTTTTAGAGATGAGCATAATAAGATGTATTTTATTGATCTTTAAAATAATTCTTTTCCTTAAACTATGTATTATATATTTGATTATACTCTACATTCGAACTCGCAGTCTTTTAAATATTAATGTCAAGTATTTATCGATGTATATTTATGCTTCAAATGAAAATTCTATTGGTCTCATTTTATAATTTGTTAGTGAATTTTATAAAAATTAATTAAATGTAAACATTTCGGACATTGTTTTGGATCTTTCTCACATTGTCAGTATAATTTAAGCACGAAAAACATTATTAATTCTAGGCATAATTAAGTATATAGATATCGAGTAGTCTCACTTTTCATTTTCACTGAAGAGATTTATCAGGATTTTAACATTTTTTTCAATTCTTTCAGAGGAAGGAATACGTCAAGTACGCAAAAGTTTTCCCGCTTTCGGGAACACTTGACTTTAAGGTGCCCAGCAAGTGGTATCGGAGAGTAGTCGGCTCGCTTGAGATCATCTGTGGCCTCGCCATGGCGATTATTCCAAGTCGTAGGTGCAAAAGATCAACCACCTTCTTTCATCATAATGTCCTCCCTTTGCAGCCGCTCATTCTATCGAATTATCAGTTTCATAAATATTCAATTTTGTAACTATATTATCAATTCTATTATTATATAAAAGGCATGTATCATAGATTCTCTCACGAATGTTTATTATCATGTGTGTTTCGTTCTCCGCTGACCTTTATAATTATTTAAATCTTAAGTCTTAGATATTAATTTTTATAGAAATTTGAATTCTTGATTCCCTATTTTTATAGTTCTTTATACTTTGTCATTTATATGCACTCATTATTCTACGCAAATTCTTAACTTTAAGTAAAACCAAAGGTTTGTAACGTTTGTATAGTTTAAACTTTAAACTGAAGACGAAATTTATTGAAGTGAATTTATTTTAAAGGAAGGAATAATAATTAGATATAATTTTTCTTAGGTATTATTTACTACTATATTTAAGATCTAAACAATTAAATTATAGTATAGAAATTTATTAAAAATATAGGAATTATTGAGAAAACAGACCGAAATGTTCATATTTCGTTTTTTTCCACGATTCTATGACGTACCTTTAAAGAAGCAAATCTGTTATTTTTTTATCTAGTTTCCCTCGTAACACTTTTTTACAGTATTTTTACGGAATCTAAAATTATAAATAAACATAAGGAATATTACAAAATGAAATCAACATGAATAATATGTTAATTTTGACATAAAAATCAGAATTTTATGTTTATATTATTTTGAAATAGCAATTTTCTAATAATTTGTTTTTTTTTAGGATTAAGATGCAATGTAAAGTATCTTGAAAATTAGATAAAAAAAAAATAGCTCAGAAAAATAGCAAATTGCTTTCTTAGAAATCGCAGAATCATAGCAAAACATTCGAAAGTTTCAATATCTTTATAATGACACACACAAGAAAATTTTATATTTTTATAGTATAATAAACAACATCTAAAATATAGTAATAAGCAACACAAAAACTGTGTTTATTTACATTTCTTTTTTTTCTTAAAGTAAATTCGCAAATTTTGCCCTCAATTTGTCTTTCAATTGATTCGTAAATTTTGCTTTCCATTTGACCTTCAATTATTTATACCAACCTTTTGCCCTCTTCAAATCATTACATCAAAGAAATTGCCGTGTTTGATAAACAGAACTGATTCATTGCAGTAATCATTTGTAAATTGCTTCCAGACAAAGTTAAAAACTTTTCAAACACGGTTCTGCTTCTTTTGATGCTGATGGCCGTGTACTCTCATTACATGGTTAACGACAAATTCGAGAGGATCGCCCCGGCACTGGTAAGTGATTATTTATTAACATTAGGTCTGTTCTTTTTTCGTCTTTCATCCTTTTCATCTTTTTTTCTTTTCTGTCCAGAAGAAGAGAAAAGGAAAAAAGATGAACTGTAAAAGTTCAGCCGAAAAAAAAAAAACAGACCTATTATATGTGGTGTATAAGAATTCACTCATACTTATTATTAGCACTTTGATCCAGCTTTAACCGTTATAGGCGTTTAATTCCTTCATTGTTTGTAGACAATTTACGGTCGATACAAAAATTAGTTAGACCTATTATATTTATGTGCTTGAATTAATTTTCGCTGTTGACTGAGAAAATTTAGTATTTGTGTTATTTCAAATTTTTAACATGGCCAAAAGTGCTTATGTATATGAAAGTACTGTAATTATGTTATAATAATTAGTATGTAACATTTGATCGGATGCAAAGAACAATTTTTTATCGCATTAAAAATGTCAAGTGTCGTACCAAAAAAAGAGCATTGGCTGGAAGCATTACTTTTCTGTTTTAATCTCAAGAAATTTGCTGCTGAAAGACATTCAAGCACCTAATATATGTTTCACGAGCTGTAAATTAAACGGTTTCAGGTATTCTTCTTTATGTTGACGGGGCGACTGGTGATCGATTGGCAGCTCAGGCGACAAAACACACAATCGGTGACGGCGAACGGTGTCGACGACAAAGCTAAGAAGCAAGACTGAACGGGATTACATTTGGAAAACGTGTTGTCTGTTTTTATTTTAAATCACGTAATTCTACGATTTAATTTCTGGGACACACTGATTCTGAGAAAAATTAATTAATTTGTATATATAGACACTCGTTCTAATTTTTCCAAAGATAAAATTTTTCTCTCAAGGCACCGTTATTTAATATATCTTTTTAGATCTTTTATATATTCAAAGATTTGACATGCAGTAAAAAACTATATAATATGTAGAGGAAGAAAGGAAAGGATAATTTAGGATTCTGCAAATCAAGCTTGGAAAAAAATGTACGTCTCCAAAAGTGGATATAAGAGAAATGTATAATTTACTTTACACAGTGATCAGTTTTAATGTGATTAGTAAGATGAATATTTATTGCACTCTGCGTGTTACTCTGCGCACTATATCGTCATATAGTTTGCAGAATAAAAAGCGAGCGACATTAAAACGCAATAAGATTTGTAATTAATGGAAGTTAAGTTTTATGACGGGATATTTTTTATCACCGATGCGGAATACTCGATGAATATGTGATGTGTATATTTTCTCTGATAAATATTATTTAATGACTATTAAAAATCTGTAATACAAACTTTCGAGTTTTGGTACTGATAGCAATTGCAGTCTGATAATCGATGAATGTTGTTTCCGCTAATTGATGATAGTGATTTATCTTGCAATATCGGTCCATTAAGACACCATTGCATTAATGTCGATTGTTGCTAGTCATGATTAAAGAAATTGTTTCTCTCTCTCTATTTATATTATAATTAATACAATGATGCAACAAGAGAGAAAAAAGGTCATAAATAGTTAACTATTTATATCAGCAAAATTAATTTAAAAAACAAAAAAGTTTGATCGACTTACCGTATAATTGATAGTATTTTATTTCTTTTTAATCCGTTTTAAAGCCATAACATATGACTATCGCACAACAGCTATACATAAAACATTACACAATTGTAATATAAGTAGCTATATATAGTAGCTATATAATAACATATAGGAAACTACAATATAAAATATCTTGATATCTTTATGAAATAACTATAATATACATAATTATAAATTTATAATATAAAAAACTATGATATATAATCATAGGAGGCTATAATGTAAACTAGTAAAACTGTAATATAAATAGAGAAATTTAATCCGCTACGCGCAACATTAATCGACATTGATGCGACCAATCCTCAGTGACACTAGCTTAAGCACAAGGTACTAACTGCCACTTGAATGAATGTGCTCTTATATGTACCGTGCGAGCGTGTGTGTATGAAATACACATAGAAAATGTTTCTTAGTAATTGAGACATGTGCGCACTAGATTTAATTTATTTCTTAAAATCTTTACGTACGAGTAACGAATGTGATCAGACAATTTGATAAATAAAACCAAAATTGGAACTATCAAATAAACTTTTTCTAACTACTATTTGACACCCATGATAATTACGGTTTCATGTAAGTAATTGAAATTTCAAATAATTTCCATTTTAGGTCCATTTTAAAGTCATGGTAACCATTTGTGGACTGTTAATATATTTTTAATATTTAAATAATTAACATCTTTTCTACAAGTCTCTCATAATTTTTATAAATTAAAACATTCTTAAGTCAGCCTTATAATTTGAAATTATATTATATTTTCACTAAATATATATTTTTTTCTTTTTTATGTAATACTGAAATAAAAAATATCAAATCAGAAATATTGTATTCATTGAATTTTTCTTATGAAAGCTTTACATTTATAATATAAACGATACATTAAATAATAGAGATGTGCGAATCAAACATTTATGCTATTATACTATAATGGCTGCGTTCGATAATAGCAAATAGCGTCGGAGTGCTCTTATATTATAGCATGTCACGTACCGTACACTATAGAAAAAGAGCACTCCGACGCCTCAGATTTGCATTGCCGAACGCAGCTAATGTTCAAATGGAATCTTTGATAATAAAAATGAATCGATTGTATTGTGATTAAAATTCGCACACTTCTAATAAATAATTGAGGAACAAAGGAAATGTTAAGATTTTTGTTATAGGTCAAGATTGATATGCACCCATTTTTATACATTTATTACATCATTTAATGTTAGATTTATGTAAAAAAATATATCATGTACAAGATGTTAGATGTACATATTGTGTGAAAATACAATTACTTTTATTGCAAATTTATAATCGTCAAATTCTGAAACGCTTGTAAAAACAATATTATACCATTTCTAAAAATCATATAAGCCATTTGGAAGCATTTTAATTCAAGATTTTATACTTTCGAAATAATTTTTACTACTTAAATGCTTGATTTTCGTTGTTTATTAGTAATATAATATATTATGAAAAAGTTTCATTAATAACATCATATTATAAAAATTATTTGAAAAACAAGATACTAAAGCTTTTATTAAAAAACATACTCTCTTAAATTAAATAGTTTCAATAAATATAATGAAACTGCAGCTATACACATCTCATTTGAACAGTAATAGTTACAATCTGAAGGACAGTCCGTAACAATTTCTATTTTCATTATTAAGTGCACTATACTCGAGGTTGATTTGACTAGTTTTTTAGTAATTATGCCTTTTTTTTATTCATTTTCTACTAATTGTACCCGAAGGTTGTAAAAGTTTTAAAATATTAGTGTAATATCTTTTATTATGACCATTAAATACGTTAGCAATAACATGTAACATAATTGTAAGTTACTGTACGTGTGTTTTCTATATACATTTCGTTCATCTACATGGATTCCTGACCAGTAGTTAAAAGATGCAGAGCTTTCCGAAGATTCATTACAGAAGTAGCTACGTCATCATAGTCCAATGCACTACTTGCCCATTTGAGAAGTTTCTGAGCCTTGCTTATTTGCTCAACTGACAACTTAGCACCACCTAAAATTATATTATGCCCAATACAATAATTATTTTATATTCTTCTATTTCTACTTGACTTACTCATTTTATCCTGTTCATATATATCAAAATTTACATTTGAGACTTACTTTCCGTTTTATATGTATCATCTTCTGACTCAAATGACTGTATTCTTGTAGTTGGTGGATTTGGAGGAACAGATGGAATGTCTAGCGAAGTATTATCCTTAGGACTTGCAGGACTTACATTTGATTTAGCCTCTTCATCTAACAGCCATAAAATGTTTATCAAAATTTCAAGTTTATTTAAAAATTTATGACAATAAAGAGCCAATACTTACTGTCATTTGATACTTCATCCGAATCATTTTCATTATTTGTTTCTTTAAATGGTCCTGGTATTGGAGTCTCTCCTTTTGCTAAACAATCATGAATATAAGCTGTTTTCCATTGAGCATACTTCTGATTCTGTGCAGCTTCTACACTCAATTCTCCAAACAATGTCAATACATCGTACAACATCTGAGCGGTATAGAAACTCTGTACTACTTTCTGAGAAAAATTTGCAGCCCTGTCATTTTTATCAGCATATAAAAAAAGCTTTAAAGCCCAATTTTCTAAGTGCGCTTGAGCAGCTACATCATTAGTAATAGCTTCATTGTCATGCAATTCTTTCTTTGTTGCTTCCAACCAGTCCATTAGCTTCAAGAAAAAATTGGTCTCCTCTGATGTCTTAGTTGAAAATTTCAATCCAGTTTGAAGGGCATACAAGCGACCTGTTTTATATGTAGATTTTAATAATTTTCCATTTTAAAGTCAAAAGCAAGAAATGTTCAACTTTTAATAAAAGATACATTTATTTTAAAAGATATTTTTATTTTTTTCTCTATGCATATGTGTGTGTGTGTGTGAAACTAATTTACTGAAATATATTTCTATAATCTCTAGATTTAAGATTTAAAATATGTGATATATTAATATACATACACCAATAGCTAACAACGCTGTCTCGCTGATCATGTTTCGACGCAATTGTTAAATAGTGTTGTATAGATTTTAAAGGAATTGGAACTTTCGGTAAGTCAGGTCCTGTCAGTGCCATTGGAATAAGAAATGTCAAAGGTATACGTTAAGAAATATTACTCTTCTTATTTCTTGGGTATTCGTATTTATAAATCACAAAATATACGAAGAATAATTATTAACCTGTATATATCGAGATTTTAACCACGGAGTATGTAATAAGAAGGAGATCAAGCTTGAGGAAAAATGACAGAGAGAAACTAGAGGCCTAGAAAACAGAGATGCGACATTGCGTCGGTTGGGTTAGGTAACCACCGCCATTTTAATTCAATATAAGTGCTCTTGACCAATAAGCTGATGACAGTTGATGCAAAAGGTAGAAAGATTAGATTAGGCTAGGTTAAGTCCGACATTAAATATTCATACAAATAAGAATACTTACACCATAAAAATAGTTTTTTATTGCAATTCGACACTGTATTGTCTAAATTTTTCTCTATATATGTACATACGTTATAAAACTATATCTATTAGATGCAATAGTGAATTAAAATGGCACTCTGATCACGTGATTTAGACAGCCAATCAAGCCATACCCTTCAATGACGCATCTCTGTTTTCTAGGTCTCTTTAGGGTGCCGTCCCATGGGATGCGGAACTGCGGATATACGGAACTACGGAACGTTCATGATTGGTCGTGACGTCTTCCGCCGATTCCGTCGTTTTCGTTGCGCAAATTATTTCTTTTGCGGATTCCGTCGATGCTACGCACGCGTTTAAATAGGTTCGCGAACAACATATTCTTTTAGCAAAAGAGGACCAACTAATTTTAATAATTCTTTATATAATGGAGGTGACAATCTAAAATAATCGATGTATTTTTCTTTATCTTCGACTTGCATTTCGTTTGCAAGATTTGCACTTGCTCCTTGCAATAATCTCCTTTCTGAAGTGAATATAGGTCGTACCCAAAATCTTCGTTGACTCTTTTTATTTTATTTTCTTTTGGAAATTGTATATAGAACATTTAATTTTGCTATCTTCCAACGTAGTTCCTGCTGAACAAATACATTCTGATTTTGTTTTAATTTTCTCATTAACCCGCATATAACAATAAATAACTTGTCCGAATACATTTTGCTGCAAAATGGCAGATAAATAACAGTGCTATTTGTTTTTGTTGTATGTGTGTGTTTGCAATGTCTATCTGCTTTTTTGAAGGCCCTAATCACTGCTATCAGAATAAACTTATAATAGCCAATAAACTCAAACTGAAACACAATAATATAGGCTCTTTAATCTGTAGAAATGAAAAGATTGACGATTAATGTTATTATTTAAATTATGAAATACATAAAGCTTTCAACCTTTCAATTTTAAATACAAAATATGTAATACTTTCATGCACGCCACTAAAATATGAAATATAAAATCTACTTTTATTACGAAAACTGTGTTTTGAATAAAAATATTTAATTTAAATACCTGCCCAGCCCTGATAAAATGCTTTTAGGATATCTGCAGAGCGTCCTACTTGCGTTTCAAAATATCTTCTCAGTATATGTTTCGATATTTCGAAAATCCACTTATCTATTCAAAGGTCCACAGTGACTGTGCAGGCGTCTCTGTATTATCTGTATGTGTGATTTCCGTTCCGCTGAAATGTGTTTCCTAGTGTCCCATGGAGCGGAATTTACGGATGCGCAATCAATGCGAGCCAATGACAAATGCTATTCCAGTAGATCTAATGAAAGTGAACTACGGAAAGACTCTTGCGATTGGTCAACGCTATTGCGCATTCCGCAAATTTCACTCCATGGGACACTAGGAAACACATTTCAGCGGAACGGAATCGGCGGAATGATGTCACGACCAGTAATGAACGTTCCGTAGTTCCGCATATCCGCAGTTCCGCATCCCATGGGACGGCACCCTAAGAGAAACCTGAGAGAGGCCATCGGCCTTTTTTTGCGTGACAGGCGAAGCCGCCGTACGCCAGCGGCACCAACATCAATTTTAGAAATTGATGTGAACTATGTCGATAAAATCGTAGTGTCGATACATGGATTTAAGGCGATGCTGGACCCGCCTGTATTATCGACGGACCCGGCTGTATTA